AGTTCCCATGACCCCCTCCTCAGGTTCAATAATTTGCCAGAATGACTCATAGAACCCAGGAAAACACTTACCTACATCTACCAGTTTATTATATAACAAAGAATTGATGAAATATATAGGCAGCCAGGTTAAGAGGTATATAGGGTGAGGTCTGGAACAGTCCAGAATGCAGGAGCTTCTGTCCTCATTGAGTTAAAATGCTCCATGCTCCCAGAATATGGTGTATTCACCAACCTGGGAGCTCTCTGAACCTTTCACTTAGAGTTTTTTATGGAGGCTTCATCACATAGACATGCTTGGTTATTGACTCAATCTCCAGCCCCTCCTCCCTCACTGAAGGATGGATGTGGGACTAAAATTCCAACCCTCTAATCATATCTTGGTTTCTCCAGCAACCAACCACCTTCTTGAGGCTCACAAGGGGCTGATAGATACCAGTCATCTTACTGGTATGCAAAAATACACTCTTATCATGCTAGGGACCCCAAGGATCTTAGAAGCTCTGTGTCAAAAACAGGGGCAGAGACCAAATGTAGATTTTTTTATAATGTCATAGTCCATCCCCTGGTCTCTGGTCATTGACCTCTTATGTCAAAGGATCATAAAAGTCCAAAGATAATGGTACATTACTAGAATTCCACTCAGTCATTGATAATTAGTCCAGTAAATCATCATATTATATAAAAATGTCTCCCGGGAGAAGGCCACTTGGGTTTTCAAACTTCTATGCAATCTCCTCAGGTTCCAAAAGCAGGAGCAATCTCAGCAATATATGAATTCACCCTTTCAGACATCTGGTATAATTGAGCTAAAAGACAATTATCTCTTTCTCTGGACCTCTTTTAAACTGTTAATGTAATATTGGATTTGCCTAGTTAAATAACCCCTTTATTTACTTTTTTTTTTTTTACCCTCATTCTCTTCATTTATACTCAAACTTGTCTACCTTTACCTTTAGGAGAAACATTAGGTTTAGCCGTTGAGCTGGTTTGTTTGCAGGCAGCAATATGGGTCTAGCAAGTTCCTCCCCCTCAGTCTCCTCCCATCACACAGGTAATATTACCAGGTGAACACTAGAGGGCTATTTTTACCCCCAGACAATATAGCTACAGTCACTGTTAACACCAATTTTGCCAGATAGTGTGAAGGTACAACCCACCCCATCAGGCCCTTAAGAATTCTTACATAAAGGTTGAAGTATATAGTTGCAGTTTTTGCTTATGAATTATCTCTGCTTTCAGCATTTTTAATTGCAGATCTGGTCCTATAACCACTACATTGAGTAGGGGAAAAAAAACAAAATTGAGATGATGTGGGGGAAAATGTATAGTTGTTATACCAGGGTACTCCCTGCTCAACAAGAATTGCATAGTTATGCAAGTATCCTCCTCCACTCACTCTTCCCCAGATTCATCAGAAAAATAGAGGAATCTATCTAGTGGGGACGCTTCCTGAGCCCCAGTCCTCTTGAAGGTGTGTAAGCCAGCACTTCATGCCTATACCACCACCCCCCTTTAGACAATCAATGTTTTAATTGCTCTTTCCCATTTTCCATCAAACTCTGGGGAGAATATTTCTCTGCCATTGTTAGACATTTTAAGCTGAAAAGTATATTCCTTGGCCTGAAGAAATATGACTCAGAGGTCCAAATTAGTGTTAATATCTTCCAATTCTTTTATAGCATTCTGAGGCATTTGCATCTACCACCGCTAATCAATCCAGAGTCAGTGTCTATTCCTGTCAAAACCCATTTGTATTCCCCTGGGGCTACCTGTATCAGTCTGAATTCCCAGCTATGTTCATGGCCTTCCCCCTCCCCCTCCCCAGAGAATTTTCCACTTCCACATAGCCATAGCCATCTGTAATCTCTGTCTACTGCTGGCAGACAGAACAGTTTTTGTCGGCATTTTGTGCCTCAGAGAGTATGAGAAATATGTCAAAATGCAACCCATCTCTGCATTGTTGCAGTACCCCCATAGCCATTCATTTTATGCACCTAGGTAGCTACCATAAGCAAATGCATGGGAATGTCTGCATATTGATTTTCATCACCTTCTGAACCTGGAAGGGAGTTCTGATGGGCATTAACATGTCCTACTTTAGTGCACTCCTCAAATTCTAATATCTATGGGGATGTCATTCATATGGGAATCCTTTTAATAAGCCAGGTTTCCATTGCCCTCCTGTCTAGTCCCATGGCTAGTTTATTGGCCACTGCCTATGAGTCAGTAAAAACATAGGTAGTTTTACCACTACTCAATCCTTTCCTCACTGCTAGAAAAACAGTATCCAATTCAGCCCACCAAGCTGATCTGTCTTAACCTTCTTTGATCAAAGTGGTAGCCTTCGAGGCAGGATATTTTCTGTTCACCTTGGAACTGCCATCCACACATCAACTAACTCTTTGTTGGACAGTCAAGAGCTGTTTATAAGACACTAAGAGACAGTAGAATCGAACAGCTCTTCACAGAGTCAGTCTTAGGGGAAAAGAGGCTCACTGCATTCTCCTTGAGTAGCATGGTTTTGTGTAAACTATTTCCACTTTATTATGGAAATCTTCTGGGGGCTACAATCCACATTAGAGTGATTTTCTGACATCACCTGTGACACCATGAATATCTTAGTTGCTGAGATCATTTTATGTCCTTTAGTCATAGTGGCAGTTTTAATTAATATCCAATAACAAGCTAGTAATTGTTTCTTAAATGCAAATTCTCTGGTCAAAAGTCCCAGTAGTTATTGTGGGAAGGTACTCTCAGGCTTTTTCCATAAGCCCCTGTCTATGCTCTGCATGGGGCCATCACCCAGAGAATTAGTCCCTGTTAGCACCCCAGCTTTTATTCTATGCTGTGTGGGCTCATGCAATCTTGCTGGTTCCCATTTAGCATGTCCAACTGATGTTGCTTGAAGAACAGATTTACATGCTTTCTGTTTTACATTGCTAAGTAGGGGAAACATTCCTCAATCAGAAACAATGTGTGTCTCCATAATACAATCAGGTAAAATAGATGCAACCACTTCACATAAAGACTGTTCAAACATACCAATTTTTCTATAAACTTTTATCTTGATTCCATCAATCCTTACATTCCTAACTGCAGCCTCCATTAGGACTCTATCAACAAATTCTGGTCTTACAATACTAGGTAGGTGAGATGTTCTCCAGCCAAATGTAATACCATTGTCATAAAATATTCATGTAAAGGAAACCTTTATTTTAACTATATTATTTAAAATGTTTTTATTGATTTTTTAGAGAGAGATAGAAACATTGATGTGAAAGAGAGACATCGATTGACTGCCTCCTGCAGGACCCCTACCAGGGATCAAACCTGTAACCCTGGCAAGTGCCCTGACTGGAAATCGAACCTGGACCCCTCAGTTCATGGGACGATGTTCAATCCACTGAGCCACACTGACTGGCTGGGCATTAACTACATTTTTAAATTAATTAAGCAAGGAGGCCATTAGGCTGAGGTGGCTTCATTGCCTTAGTAGTCTATGTAAACCAAAACCTAAGCCTGTAATACCTCAAGGTTTAGAAATCAAAACTTGACAACCAATCACATACAACCAACAAGATTTTCCCAAATAAGACAACAACTTTCGCTATAGCTAATTAAATAATTGCCTTTACTTCTGCACCTTCTCTATAAAATGATTTCCTCTAGCACCTGTTGATAGTGTGCTCCTAACCATTTCTGGTTTGGTGCCGCCCGAATTAAATAGAATTTTGCTCATATAAACTCAAAATTTTTTATATATCTCAGTTTATATTTTAGCACCATCAATATCCATTTTACCCAACCTAATAAGCATCTTATTATTCCTAATAAGCATCTAAAGAGTCCCACCCTGCTGGGATGAGTCCTGTGACTCTCTACCCCTTTTTCCCTCTTTGTTTCACTTCTATCGATATTTGTTTTATTTATTCTTTCTTAATAATGGTTAAAAAATTTCCACCTTTCTAGGAGTTCCTTGACTCTCCCCTCTACCTCCCTGCCTTATCTTATTAATTAACCTAATGTTTTATACTACCTATAAGATGCATATGGAGAAGCTGAGATAGAAAATTCAATAAGGTTTCCTGGACTACTGCTTAATTTTGCAGCAGTAAAGATATATGAGATGCCCATGCAATAGGGCCATCCTTAATCACAGCATTAACTATAACATAGAAAATGGGCATATTCAGTGGGTGAAGATCCCAGTTATCATAAAGCAAATCCCATGTGGCTTACATATGAAACACATCAGCCACTTCATCTGAGACATTCCACTTGCCTTTTATAGGAGGAATTGGGCAGTCCCCTTATCAGTGTAAACAGGCTGTAAAATGCCTTTTATCCCATTCACCAGGCTATCTGTTCCCCCAAGAGTAACCTCCTTTGTGTCTGGATTATGTGTAGCCATCTGTGATTCTTCAGTAGTAAGTTGTCCCTACCCAAGCAACATCCAAAGACAAAGACAAAGCCCCCAAATTAGTTACTCTCACAATCCATTTTATTAAAAGATCTCCAGAGAGCTGATGATAACAATCTACAAAGTGAAACTACTCCTTCACACTATACTGCCTGGTTTCAGAAGTTTCCTGGTTTTTCCCTCTCCTACACGAACTGCCTTCTAGGTGACCAGGGATCTTAGAGACATTCTATGTCCCTTCCCACCATTCCTATCAACATCATATTTGAAGACCCAGCTACTGCAATAAGACAAGAAAAGGAAATAAAAGATGAACGGAATGGAAAGAAAGAAATACAATTTTCTTTGTTCACAGATGACATGATTATGTATGTAGAAAATGACAAAGAGTCAACAATAATGAAGAGTCTCCTGAAAGTAATAAGTGGTAATTATAGCAATGATGCAGGATACAAAGTTAATATACAAAAATCAATTGCTCTTCTACATACAGGCAAGGAACAATTGGAATTTGAAATTACAATTAAAAAACACAATATATTTACAATAACATTCCCCAAAATGATACACTTTATTATGCATGGGTTTGGCAAGCCCATCTCCCTGGGTCTCTTAAAGTGCAGTGTCCAAGGCCAGAGCAAACTGTAGCCTTGAACCATTGCCTGGCCTCTGTCTGCAGGCTGCAAGCACTAAAGCGGGTTGTACAGTAGAAAAAAATGATATACTTTATTATAAATCTAACAAAATATGTATAGGATCTATACACAGAAAACTATAAAGCTCTAATGAAATAAATTAAAGAATATATACATACTATATTTGAATTATTCTTCTCTATTAGAGAAAATAAATACAGTGCTGAAATGGGGGAGAAACTAATTAGTTGAACATCTATTATATGCCAGATACTATGTAAAACAGTATTTAGGTTATTACCTCCACAATTACAAAAAACCCCTGAGATCGATTGATTATCACTGTTGTATAGTTGAGAAAACTAAAGCTCAGACAATAGCTGCAGGGGATGGTAAAAATCTTATTATAAAATATTATATAGCCATTAACAATTATAGTTCTGGAAAATATTTAGTAACATGGTCATGTTATAATGCTAATTAAAAAGAAATTCAAAGAGCAGCATTCAAATCTCTGTATACCATATGAAACCAATTTTTTTTATTTTTTTTTATCCTCACCTGAGGATATCTTTGCATGTATCTTCAGATAGAGTGGGAGGGAGAGAGGAGGAAGAGAGAGAGAGAAACATCGATGTGAGGGAGGCACATCAAGTGGTTGCCACCCACATGACCCCAACTGGGGCCGGGGACAAACCACAACCGAGGTATGTGCCCTTAGCAGGAACTAACCAGGGACTCTCCAGTCCACCGGCCGATGCTCTAACCGCTGAGCCAAACTGGCCAGGGCTGAAACCAATTTTATTAGAAGTTATAAAAATGTTTTAAATAAACTTGATGATATTACTCTATAATTCTGTAAAAAATACATCAAAACATTAATATGTGGATTAACTGGAATGTTCATATACTATTAGTGAGAGTATAATTGATACAGCCACACTGGTAAACTATTTGAAAGCATCTATTAAATTTGCCTAATGTGTATTCTAAAGCCCAGAAATTCCATTCCTAGGTATATAACTAACAGTTATATCTTCTGTTCATCAAAAGACATTTACAAGCATGTTTTTATTCTTATCCTATGCTTAATAACCCAGTGCTGGAAATAACTCAATAATCATACACAATAAAATAGATAAATACATTCTGGCATATTCATATAATGAAAACTATAAAACAACAACCAATGAATGAACTACAACTAATTGCAACATGGATAAATCTTGCAAAGGTATTATTGAGCTAAAGGAATTTGACATAAAGTAAATAATTCCATATATTTCAAAAGCAGACAAAACTGATCTCTGGTATCACTGAATAGAGGGGTTACTGCTTAGAAGGGAGAGAGGACATGCTTCTGCAGAGCCAAATAATGTTCCGTTTCATTAGCTCAGTCAGTTATATGGCAGTATTCAATTTGTGAAAATTCGTTGAGTTGTACAACTATGATTTTGCATTTTCTATACTTTTAAATTTTTCAAGTAAAAGTTTACTAAGAATATTAATAATGGTTATATTTTAAATTATTATGATAAATAAGTGTTCATTTCTTAACAGCTTTATCGAAGCGTAACTTATATAGATAAAATGAACTCATTTTAAGAGTACAGTTCAGTGAAGTTTGCCAAATGTATAAAGCTGTGTAACCACCACAACTGTCAAGATATAAAACATCTCCCCAAAAGTATCCTAATGCCCTTTTAAAATATATCCCTTTGTCTATCCAATCTACTCTTTGGTCTGCTTTCTGATGCTATAGTTTTATCTTTTCTAAAAATTGCATATAAATGAGACCATACAGTATCAAGTTTCTTTGTGACTGGCTTCTTTCACTTGGTGATATATATTTTTTTATTGTAGAAAATATTACAGATGTCCTCCTTTTTCCCCATTGACCCCCTCCTTCTTGCTTCCACCCCCTTCCTGCCTTCCCTAGTCCAGTGTCTCACCTGGTGATATTTTTTAGAGATCCATGTTATTGTGAGTATCAGTAGCTCTTTCTTTTCTATTGCTGGGTAGGATCCCCTTGTATGCATAGAGCACCATTTGTTTATTTATTCAGTGGCTAATAGACATTTGAGTTTTCTTTTTGATATTATGAATAAAGTGGCTATGAACATTTGAATTAGTTTCTCTTTCTCATGAGTAGATGAGAAGGAGTGGAATTTCTCAGCTTTATGGTAAATACATATTTAGTTTTATCAGAAATTGTCACTGTTTTCCAAAGTGGCCATGCCATTTTGTATTTCCGGCAGCAATGTATGAGATCTCCAGTGCGCTACCTCCTCGCCAACACCTAGTATTCTTGGTCGTTTTCATTGTATGTCGTAGTATCTCATTGTGATTTTAATTTGTACAAACCCGATGACTAGTGATGCCATTTGTATATTTTGGGGGAAGTATCTGATCAAAAATGTTGCCCATTTTTTATTTGTTGCCTTATAGTTAAGATTTAAGAGCTCTTTATATATATACTTGATACAAGTCCTTTGTCAGGTATTAATAAATTATCTTTTTTTTTTAATAATATCTTTCAATGAGCAAAAGTTTTATTTGCTATGAAGGTCAATTTATCTATTTTTAATGGTATGTGCTGTTTGTGCAATTTCCCTTTATAGAATAAAACATGTTATATAAAAAAGATTTGACAATGACTGAAAGGTTAAGGAGATAGATTGATCAGTCTAACTAGGCAATTGAAATTCGGAGATTTAAACCATCTATTTGCTTGGCTGAAATGAGCTGTTTGCAAAAAAGAGTAATGTGAATACAAAGAATGTTACACAGTCTTACTTATAATGTCTGACTGAGAAGGTATTTGATTTAGGGTAGAAGAGAAGAAAAGATCAATTCTATAATAGAAGTTACTATTTTAAAACAGTTTAGTCTTAGTTTAGAGAAGTGAAACCAAACATACTTATTTCTGTTCAAACTCCTCTTCAAAACAAAGTCCAAAGCTAGAGGGAATCAGCTCTTAATAAATTAAGAATAGTAAAAGGAGAAAAATCTTTTTCTTTTTTGTAAACAAAAAGATAAGAAAAATAATAGAAAAGGGAATTTGGAATATGGCTTAGCTGAAATATTAAACTATATTCTGAATAGAAAAGGCAGAAAAGTGTCTGTTTTTAAAATAAAAACAAAAATTTAATTTCAGTACAAATTAAGTTTGAATTATATGTGAAATAAGCAAAAATACCCAACTACTATTAGAAGACACCTTTTGAAAATTGTTTTTTCTAATTATAAGTTGTGTTGTTAATATCTCACATCAGTTAATAAGACAACATTCCATGTCCTCCCAGGCATGTGTAGACAAAATAACTGTGCCTTTCGTCGCTTTTTTAAAACCTTGGAACATTAATAGGCTTTACAGCTAAATTAAAAATAAAATGAGAGGTTGATCTGTTTTCCTAGTATTCCTGGTGATTTTGGAAACTCTGTAGTTAATCACAAGCACAAAACCATTTGCCAACGTTTAAAGATAGACAAGATTTAAAATGAGACCTCCCCTGAAACTCTAATTTCAATAAAAAAAATTGAGGGCTTTCTCCCCCTCCCAGAAAGGCAACTACATATGGATAATGTATTCATCACTAGGAGAAAAATTAATTAATAGGCTTAATACATATTGTAATGTTATTTCTACAGAAAGAGTAGATGGGCGAAAGAAAATGCATACAAACTCGATATTTGATATTTTCAATATAATCATAATTCAGACAGAGAATGCATTTTTAATATTGCCTTTTCAACATACTGTGTTTTTTTAAAAAAAAAAAAAAACAGAAAAGCTTTCCTAAATTAGATTGTCTTTAAATTCTCCAGGATACTAAAGAGGCAGGGGAACAGCTTGCCTTTGATAAGAATTTTTCTTTCACATGTGACAGAAAGAGCTCCAATTTTGCAGCTAACTGGATTAGAGTAATCCTAAATAATTTAGCCTCCATTTATGGTTTGAGCAGGTTCATTATATGTGAATTCCTAGCACCTCCTCTCTTTAAACTCTTTTTGATCAATTAATGAACTTTTAAAAAATGTACAACATTCCCCCATAAACTACTATTTCACGTATTTTTCCTTATAATTTTATTCATGTCTTTATGCTAACTTAGAAAGGGAACTAAAATTTGTTGAAGGTTGAAATATAAGCTTCTCAAGCGTAAGTAAGTTTCTTACTAGATATAAACTCCTCACTAGCATGAAACCTTCTTGAGCCTGGGAATTTTGTGAACTTCGTCTTCTTCACCACTGTATCCCACTTCCTGGCACAGCCTGGGATCCAGTAGGCATGCTCAATAAAAATGCATCTCTCTCTGCCTACTACATACCAGAATAGTATTAAACACGTTAATGCACAGTTTAATATACTAATATCCACACACATAAAAATCAACATTAAAAAAAATAGGTATAACTCCTTTCCCCAGGTGAAAAATTGATTCTCAAAGAAATAGGTAACTTTCCCCAAATCTCTCAACTGTGAAGTAATGCTACTTTATACAAACCCAGGCCTTTGAGCTCCCAAGCATGCTGCTGACATTTGGCTCATGTAAACCAAATGCAGATTCAACTGGATCTCAGAGACACGTGCCCTTGCTCCTTCTCTCCATGCCCACCTTATTTTTGACTCCATGTTCTTTGATCACTTCTCCCTATAACAGCATTTTCTAATATCATTTTATAGAGAGAATAGGATGACGATTCAGCTTTGCCTCTAGCATAATTGACTTAATATTTTTATTATTGATAGTGCGGTGATTTCTTTCAGACACACAACTTGGTATTGCTATGTAAATGTTTAAGAGTTTTATCAAACCGAAAAATCCTATTAGGTAGAGTGCAAAGAGTGACCATAGTTCTTTGCAGCAACTCATTCCCCACTCCTTGATTCTGGGCTGGTCACAACCTCAGGAGTTTCCTAGGTGAAATCTGAAATCGGCCCTGGAACATGGAGGCATCCACCCTGAATAGGACTGTATCCCTGAGGATTTTGATAGAGCAGGTAGAGCATCAAGGATGGAAGGGGCAGGTAGGGCAGGTCTGAAGTGTTGTTCAGATTTTAAGGTTTGCC